AAACCCTGTTGCATTCTTCTTTTGTATTGTAATTCATTAAATGGGTAGGTTATCTGGGACTCTGGTATGGAGGACCGTTTGAAAAATCATTTTCCTGATATTTTACTTTGATTACTAAACTGAAACAAAGGAATATTGCTTCACATTCAAGTAGAAGCACATGCTGAGGCAGGCACTTGGTAATTTTTAGTTATTTATTTGCTTGATGCTTTCTCCAGCAATTTTAACTGTAATGACTATAATACCCATCTGTTTGAAATGAAAATTGGATCTTTTCTTGATTCTTACAAGATATCATCTACTTGCTTTGAAAGTCTAGTTAAATGTTACACACGATGAAGTATTACTCAGCATTCATTCCAGTCTCCTTCAACTGTGTATTCTTCTATCTCTGAGGCTGGAAAGCTACAAAGTACATTTCCCAGACTCTCTTGCAGCTAGGGTTCTGGGCTCAGATTAGGTTCTGCCAGTGAAATGACATGGATGACAAGCAAGGTGGAGGGTATCCAAGGAAGATGTTTGCTAGCTTGTTTTTATTTTTGGTAGCAGTGTTTAGTCACTAGCTACCTGGAGGGAGAGGCACTTTACAACAGTTTCTCTGATCACTGGAACACAGCTCAAACAGTGTGCTCTTGAGGTCAGCAGCTCAGGTGGTGGCTCTGATTCTCAGCCTCCAGACTGTGGCAACGATGGCAGCAGCCCTGGAAGCCAATTCAGTGTCCTGTCTAGGAGTCCTCCCTTGGGCTCAGCCTGGATCCTCTCCTCTCTTTTACGTTGCACCCGTCCCTTCCAACCTTCTTGTGAGTACCTAACTCCCACATTAAACCTCTTTCTGCTTAGAGTAGCTAGAATAGTTTCTAGACTAGATTAAAATAAGAGTGTGCTTGAATTTGCTCCAATCACTTATTTCATACCCTGGCACTTGTCAGATATCTGTTTTGAAAACGATTAAAGTAGATATGACTGGATCTCTCTTATTGCTAAGTCATCAATTATCATTTATTTTCACTTAGAAATTATATTACCACATCGAGGAATTAATCTCGATTACTGAATGAAATCATTTTCTATTTGCCTCTGATAAATAGAGCTAGGAAATGAAAGAAGAGTGGCTGAAACAAATGGAGTTACTCAGTGAATCTGTCAGTCTGTTACATATATATTTATCAGCAAGCTGACTGATACAAGAAGGAAAAGGGATGGATGAGAGTATTCAATGCACAAGACAGCAGGTACTGTCTGGAGAAAAAGTCAAAACGGAAAAGGCCTGTGTCCATCTGTCATATATGGTTATGCCTTAAGGAACAGGAAGGTCACGGACCGTACTATCCAGAACTACCCGAACCAGTGCCATCACTCCTTCGGGCCTAGGTTGAGGCCAAAGCATAATTACAAAAGCTGAGAAATAATCATGGAGACCCCGGGATAGAGAGAGAGACAAAAAAAAAACATTAAAGAAAAAATGACAAAGAGGGGCAAGAGGAAGGAAAAAGAAGGAAAGGGTGAAAGGAACAGGGAATAACAAAGCGAATACAACCACGCAGATGGTGAACAGGATCATACACCAGACTGCTCACGTGACCCTGCCTGGATAGTCCTGGAGAGCAATCCACCAAGGGTGATTGCTGCTTCCTGTCACTGCCCTGCTGGACACATATTGTAGAGCTCAGGGGTTCTCAACTATGGACTCAGGAAGTAAATCAGTCCCTACAGCTCTTAAATAGACACACAAGAGTCAAACTGGATAAACATATTTATTTTGTATACTTCCAGTTATCCTATAGATAGCCTATATATATATTATATATATATGATGTGTATGGTAGCTGAAAATACATAAACTATGTATTTTAAACAAAAATCTGTTAGATTAAAAAATTTAATGCAAATGATTTTAAAGTCACACAGCTAGTAATGCGAAGAGCTGACAAACTAGTCAATTTTGGTAAATACTGGTCTAAATTCTGACCAGCTAAAAACGATTGTAAATATCCTTTTCATAATTCAATAGAGTAGTATGAAAAGAAAGTCTAAGGTAGGCCGTTTACAAGGGAATTAAGAGTTCCGAGACTGTAATCCTTAACATAAAATAAAAGAAAATGTGCGTCACAGCCCCGCCCTACTGTTCCAGCCTCATTCACACATTGCCCCCCTCTTCAAAGGTACTGTTCTCTCCACAGTCCTCCCTATCAACATACATGGGCAGTGCATGCAAAGTCCCTGCAGGTGCTGTTCACTTGGCATTAAACATTCTTCCTTCCCCAAGGACCTTCCGTCACAACCCCGGTATCACTTCCTTAAGCAGGCATTCCTCCCTCCACATGTCAAATTCCCCGTTTCCGCCCTTGACATTTCCTGCATAGTACAGTTATACTGACATGGTACAGTTATAATAACAGGTTTGTCTATGTATTACCAGCAGACCTGTGTTCTCCGAGGAGTCAGGTCTGTTTGTCTTGCTGTTGCATCCTGAAGGCTTAGCATGGTGCCTTACGTGCCTTGACAATGCTGAACAATTGAAAAACTGAATGAATGTTATTGCTGCTTCATCCCCGAAGTCCAAATACTCCATTTCTAAATATAATGACAGATGTTCATTACCTTTTTAACTGTCCAGGGGAAAGTGAAGAATTACTAGGATTTCATGAGGGCCATACTTCTCATGGCATTAACAGAAATCAGTTAATCGAATGTTCATATTTGATTCTAGAATCTCCTCCCTCCTTCTATTATCTCATCATTACCTCCAAAGACACTACAGGTAAGCCTAAAACTTGTCTAAGGTGGAGATGCATGTTTGACTGTGTAAGCCTCTAACTCTCAAAGGCCACTGACTACTAAAAGTCTAGTGTATACAATTCTGTAGACCATAAGAGCATAATAAATATACGATGACAGAAGAATGATCCATTTTTTTGTTAATTATTCAGCAACCCCTCTGCAGCCCCCTAGAGATGATACTTAAGTCAACAAGTTTCTCTTTCTTACAAGACTGGTCACAATGTGCTGACAGCGTACTGAGCATTTTACACCAACTATGCCATTTGCTCCTCACAACCACCTTGGGAAGTATCATTATCCCCATTTCATAGACTAGGAAATGGCTGAGCTGGGATTCACTCGAGGTGATGGAGTGCAAACTCTAAATTCCTTTCCTTGCACGGGTAGAAGTTTCTTTTGGTGGGAAGTAAGGACCTGAATGAATGATGTCAGCTCCCTTTTGGAGACCTCTTAGCCAGAGGTCTATGCTATGCTTTCTCTCATGACATCAAGAGAAGAGAATCACAAAAGCAGAAGGACATTCTACTGGTCATTTAGCGTCTCGATATTTTCAGCTCTACCAGAGACCAAACTGTGCTAGAATTAGGCTTGATTGGATTACTTCAGTGTGTCCTTAAATAAATCCCCAATATCTTAAAACTTTCATGCCAGTCTTCTCAGAACACTTCCTAATTTATCTACAAGTAAAAATACAAGACGGCACCGACAAGTGCTGACAGCCTCATCGCAACAATGCATTATACCAGGAGCTAAATTATGAGAGCTTCACCCAATTCCGAATTAAAATACAAACCGGAACATCAACACACAGTAAACACAGGATTTAGGTGCATTTTTTCAGCATTGAGATCCTGTATCTTTCCAAGCTTGTCCGACCCTTTCTGCCTTCTTCCAAGCAGCGATTGCGCTTGCATCATAATGTGTTTCAGATTTTGGAAACTAGCTCTCTAAAAGGCGCGTATGAATTCTTTACAATGGAAATGCATATAAGTATTCACATATACACCTATAGGAAATACTGTAAACATTAATACCTTCACAGTCCTCTTAATCCCCAGTAAGATTTGGTTTTAGAAGATACACACAGAGATTTAAGATTGATTTGGGACAGACTCCCTACCCCTCCATTGTAAGGCAGAGTTAACCATGCAGAGAGCATTTTCGGTTTCATATCCCTCAGGTAAGTAAAATTTTATTAAAACCTTTGAACTGCCCTGGTGCTTTAACTATATTAAAACACACACACACACACACACGCATGCACCACACACACACACACACACACACAATTTCCAAAGAACATCATTACAGTAATAGAATTTTTCTAGAAATACGGTTTCTTTTGAATTAAGAGAACAGTCTACAGAGTACCCTTCTCAGATCTGACCAAATGCATTAATTAAAGCAGCAGCTCTCTCAGTTTCCTTAGTGAGGAAATGCTTTCCAACTTGCCAACATCTCCTTTAGAAGAAGTTGCATGCAATCTATGGCAATCATGGTGTCACTTTCATTCTTCTCAAAAGATCTTCCCCTCTGAGCTACCCCAAAGCTTCTCCTGCCAAGTGCGAGTCCTTTACACTGCATTTTCAGCCAGGCGTCAAGGACAGAAAAACCTACAGTCCCTCCCTTCGTTAAATTTCAAAACGAATTAACCATTTATTAGCCAGCAACGTCCAAGGATTCAGTAGGATTATGAGTCACATTAATAATAGTACTTTTATCCCTTGAAACAAGGGGTTAAATGTCAATCATTATCTGTAATATTGCCAATAACCTTAACCTCAAAATGATATATTCTAGCTCTCTGCCTACATAAAATGTTCCATGAACATTTAAATGCATGCATACCAACCAATATGTACATGTTTATAGCCTTACCCTCTTCCCACATAAAGCATTGCATGCTTATGAATATTATCACAAAGAACCTAGGTAATACAAATATATATATATATGAATATATATATATTCATATAGCAAACATTGTATAAATCCTACCATCCTGTTTTGATATTCTTTTTTAAACTATATTTTTGTCGTTCACTTTGACTATTTCAGTAAGTTCTTTCAGATCAACTAAAAATATATTCTGACAAACTTCTACCTTCAAGTTATCCCTTAGTTCACCGCCTCCCACTAGTTAAAAATCAATTCCCAAAAGATAGCTTCTAAAGGGAAAGATAGACATGTATTCAATGAAAATACAAATTCATTTTCACCTTTAAGACACTGAATATGTCCCCTGCAGCTCCCAGTTCTGATTTATCCGGTGTACATCTGAAGAACATTCCGCAGTCCCTTAATGCATGGCAGGCTCGCCTGTTTCGATCACGTCTAAGTTTTCAAGGTAAACAGGTCACCCTCGGCGACTAGAATGACAGAAGAAGCGCAGGAACTCACCCAGGAGGTCAGATCCCAGTCGCGAGCGCGCGCTCGCTAGGCGACCTGTCGCGCCCTCTCCTCCCAGTCGGCAGAGGGAGGGCAGGCGTAGAACCAGCAGAACTAGGCTGGATAAGAGGCTTCCCGCCGGTCCGCTCTGCAGACCATTGTTAGAGCCATGGTCGCCGCGCTTTCGGCACAGTATGGGGGCGGGAAGCGCCACCGAACTGAATAGTTGCAATGCTCTTCCGGAGCCGGGGAGAAAAAGCTGCTTTTGCATCAGAGCCAGGGGCTGTACCAGGTGTAACTTCCATCCTTTGACCTATTTTAGAGTGTGAGAATGAACGCAATTGGAAAAAAATAGACGGAGGGCGCGCGAGGCAGAGGGGCGCCGGGGGCGCGCGTGCCCGAGGAGGAGCGCGCGTGCGCCCGGGAGCGTATCTGGGCTTCCAAAGAGAAGTTACAGCCAGGCCCCCGGAGGCCTCCTGGGCCGTGGCTGGTCTGGCAGAGCTGGTAGGGTGGCCCCTCCGCAAGCTCCTCCTCCCGCCTTGGCCCGGCTCTGGCTTCGCCCGCCCTTCTCCAGGCGCGCCCCGCGCGGGAAGCGCTGCTCCTGGGGCTCGGGGGCCTTCTACAACAGCTAGGCGACAGCCCGCGGGCCCCGGAGCGCGGTTCTCCACCCCCATCGACATCCCCGCCTCCCTGACCCGCCCTCACCTCTCCCGAGGCGGTGCTAGGGCTCGGGCAGTCGGGAGACCGAGGTCCACGGCGCCTCCGGGCAGGGAGGGCGGACGGCCTCGGAGGGGTGGCGGGCGTGGAGCGGAGCCCGGGGAGTGTCGCCTCCCTGCTTAGTCTGCTGGAACGCCCCGCCCAAACGTGCCGGGAAAGTGAGGCTCTGCTGCGGGATGGGGGTGACCTTCCTGCCTCCTCCCCGCACTTCTCGTCTGTCCTTGCTGGCGTGGCCCGTCCTACTTGGGAGAGGACGCCAAGACGAGTACACCACACCTGACCCGCCCGGAGCGAGGCAACGCAGTACCTGGGGTGACAACAACGTGACGCTTTAGCGCATCTATTCTCATTTGATCCTTGCAACCACGTACTTCAAGAGAATTGTCCCTACCGGTATATGAAATAACCGAACACGAGAAGGGTTAAGTCCGAGGTGCCATTGCTTCGACTTCAGAACTTTCACTAAAACAGGATACTTAATCTGTTAAAAGAGTTTTGCAATACTAGCCCCATCTATAAGGAAGGATAGAACTTAGAAGGTTCTACCTAAAATTGGACGTAGATAACCTCCCCCGCCCCCGCCCCGCACACACATACACTACGTCTGTAACAGTAGAGTTAACTACTTTCTGCCAGGTCCTTAGCGTGATAATCTTCAACCTCTGTTATTAAACTCAATAATCATCAGGGGCCTGTGTACTTTAAAAGATACTAGTGCCCGATATTGAAAATTAGCATGTTTAGTAATTCCTGCCCTTTATGTATGAGGTTGATACTCCTGAGGTCCATGGGGGTGGGAGGACTTCATGTTGAGTTGTTTTTCTAGACATGGTTTTTTGTGGGGACCCAACTGTAACTATGTCTCAAATAGACACTGGTGTATATAAGGTATACTAAGTGGGGGTGGAGATCAGCATCGATTGTGATTCTGGAATCCTTTTCTAGTGCCACAGTATATCGGTATGGGGGAGAACCTTTGCTTGGGCATTTTTATTTCCATGACCAAGATAATCAAGTAGACATTTCCTTTTTTTCTATAAATGCCTCTTTTTTGCATTTAAAAAGAAAAACAAAAACGTCATGAGCCTGGTTTTACATGTTCTTCTGGAGCTGAATGGCAGCCCACAGAAGTGCCACTGCTCATTTTTTCCATTCAGTAGAGCTACAACAACCATATGTCCTTGGTTGCAGGATACATACTGGATGCTGTGATGTTCCCTGCCCTCTTCTAACAGTACAATAGGAGAAAAAGCATACCTAAATCGGTATAGTATAGTGCCTGGTACAGAGTAGGTATCTAATACATACTTGTGAATGGAATCTCAACAGAATGTGATAAATATGAAAGTAGCTTGGTTTAAATTCTGCAGGAAAACATTAGGGAAATCAGTTATAGGTGAGATGGTCAGGGAAGGCATCCCGGAGGTGGTAACAGGAGCCAGATTTTGATACAGGGAATTGGCTAAGGAGTGGAAGTGAGAAAGTATGTTTGCTATGCTTTCAGGGTAGGCAGAGGCAGAGGTTCTTAACTTTTTGTAGGTAATAGCTGGTGTGAGAATCTGATAGGAGCTTTGAAATTCTCCTGTGAAATTCTCCTGTGAAATGTGAAAATGTGTGCATACATTTTCTGAGATTTCACAGACTGGTTAAAACGGATCTGTGGTATCTCTAGAGGTTTGTGAGCTTGAGTTACCATTTCTTTGTTTGGAGGCAGGGAAGAAATAAAGAGATTATTCTCTTTGAGACCATCAGAGGAGGCATTTCCATGGCCACTAACAGAATTCAGGTAATGGCTGAGAGGATGGAAAGAAAAGTGTTATAAGGAAAATTTGTCCACTTGGAAGCATAGCACTTTCTCGTTGAAGCTGGACCTTTTAACACTTATGTTCTTTTTGTACGTGAGGATTTCACTTTCATTTCTCAGAAAAAGTGGAGAAGACAGATAAAATATGCCTCTGGAACACTGGCAGTTGCTGGTACTAAGTAGGTATATGGGGAGGGTGTTGTATTTTTATCTCTTTATTTGTGAATGTTGACAATTTTCGTGAAAATTTTTTAAAAAATTTTTACTCTCAGGTAGACATAACCGATTCTATAACATTTCTTAGCTTGTTAGAATAGAAATTTTGTATTAAAAAAGGAAAAAAGGAAATTATGGGTATGCCACTGATGCCACACATAAGATTATTATTAATAAGTGGAGTCTATATAGAAACAGTAGATTTTTTCTTGTAGCTAATTATGAAGTGTGTTAGCAATGGCCTCAACCACTGAACATTGAACAAGTGTTCTGCTTTTTCTAAACTTACACCTGGCTTCATTTTAGTTTGCTCAGTTAAGTGCCTTTATTAGTACATATGTATTTCTATATTACATAATATAATATGTATTATGCAATAATATAGTATATAATATAGAAACATGTTATATCATATTTATATATTATTATATATGATTATTATGTTGCTTAGTCAACTCAGTTTCTTTATTGGTTAACTCTCTAGGTCTCTTAAGGAGCAGATTGCAGGCCTGCTCCCTTCTAAGAGATGCAGTGACTGCTTCCTTACACATAGGATGCCAGACTTTCCATCATGTGACTAATTCAACCAAGGATCCATGTCCATCTGAAGGAGTTGTCTAGTTTGTCCTGTGGCCTATAAGGCATCAGCTGGCGGAACGCTGCCAGATAGGCATGTGCTGTGTTGACAGGAAAGATGACCCAGTCAGATTTTTTCCCAAGTATCTTACAGGCAAGGCCTGGATTTGAACCTAGGCAGTGAGTGTTCCAGAACCTGTGTTCTTAACCACTCTGTTCACTGCTGCAAGAGAAACAGAGTTAAACTGAGCCACATGCATGACCAAATCATACTGTAGGAGTGATGGATGACTTGACGACAGAGGAGCTCACCCTACCGTATTACCTGTGGCTGCTGTGTTTCTTTGTTGATCTTCCAGCACCTTCTGAGTTGCTTATGGCTGTGGAGACTATTGCTTGTTCTTTCTTACTTCCTAGTGTAGTTGCTTAATATGTAATATTAATATAGGTAACATATTTCTTCTCTTTATCACCTGAATAAACACAATCGTATGATTAACATACTGATTACCTATAACACTGCCATGACAGCAAATAGAGCTATAATTATCCTGTCCAAGGTTCTATCCTTTTAGTGGTCTTCTTTCCTCTTAATGAAACAGAAGAGATACCTTCTTTAGAGATGTTATCTGAAAACAAATTTCTACAAATCAACTCACACTTTTCCATATTTATTTTACTGCTTTTTTAGTAAAATAAACACTTTCTGCAAAAAAATAATATTTTCCCCCTGAACTATTATGAAAATTATATTCATGATTTAGCAGTTATTATTTTTAACCATTTATTTAATGGAAATATCGAAGAAAAATATAATCAATAAATAAAACCAAATCATTTCATGTTCCTTATGTTTGAGGTCTATTACTCATTTTCCTTTGCTTGTTAAATACCATGAATCCCATAGAAGAGGATACAGCGCCCCTCACAGCCTGGCCCCAACCTACCACTGTGGGCCCTAGGGACATCCTAAGACTTCTCCAGCTTATGCAGCCATAAACTCCACACCTCTAGTTTCTTAAATTATGGCATATATGTAGAAATTCATGTAAGTTATTTTCCTAGAGCTTTTGACCATTATTTATTTTGTCCTCAGAGCCTACCACAGCTCTTGGCGCTTAGAGCTCGATGCATATGTTTGAATTTGTGAATTTGCATGTATTACTATAAGCCGCAAGGCCATTTCATTCATTTCAACTTTGACCATCTACTACATTAGCCCCGGTTTAAGTACTGGCTATTTAATCACTTAGGATGCTTATCTATTCTTACCATAATGGAGACTTTAAAAAATATTGCTTTTTTACCCACATTTCTCTTCCTTTCAAACTCATTCATATTTCTGAGTGATATTTAACTAGTTTAGCATGATAATATCTTGGAGCATTCATTCATTCATTCATTTATTCATTCAAATATTCGTCGAACATTTATTATGTGCCAGGCACTGTGCTAGGAAAACAGTGGAGAACAAAACAAATAAAATACCTATCCTCGTGGAGCTTATGGTAGTGAGATGACAGACATTAATGAAATAATCACAAATATCACAAATAAAGTGCTTAATTCAAAACTGAAACAAGTATCTAGAAGGGAAGTTACAGAATGTCATGAGAGCTCATGTGTCCCATGACTCTCCTAGAGGAGACCCAGATGTAGGATTCATCTTTGTAGCCTCAAAGTCTAACTCAGAGCCATGCATATGGAAGTGTTCAATAAGTTTTTGTTGAAGGAACATAGGCATTTACTTCTGATCTATAAGTGTGTGACACTCTCTGCATTGCAGTATTGAATAAAACCACAGCGGGTATCCCCTCAAATGCTGATCTCAACACACTACCACTTAAGCCATTTTTGTTTTCGTTACCATGAATCCATGGGTCACCTATCTCCAAATGCATCCTGTTTTGTTTGCCAGCATGATAACATGTAAATTCTTGTTATCCTAGTAGCATTATCAAAAACATTCTTTATAGCTAAAGTTATCATGGACACTAATATTTTTCTCTTCTCACCAGCACAAGTCTATTATCCCTATTCCTTATAGTTCATAATGTTTGCTGAAGATATAAAACAACATTGTTTCTTTTGCTGCACGGGAAACTGTCACCCTGCACTATCCTCTATGTCCTTTTACTACTTCCTCTATCTCTGTAGCTATTGCTTCTGCATCCTTCTCTCTTAATTTCTGCCATGTTGCTCTTTCATTGTCTTCTGTTTGTGATCCTGTAATTCCTGGAGTCAGCTTTTTGCTGGAACAGGAAGTGACACGTGTCTCCTGGTTTATTTTACCTCTCCTTTTTTATAGTGCTATTACATAACTCTTTTTCAAGAAGCACTCTGAGATACAACATCTCAGTCTGATTTTTGCATGTGTGTGTGTGTGTGTGTGTTTGTGTGTGTGTGTCTGATTTTTGCGTGTGTGTGTGTGTGTGTGTGTGTGCGTTTGACTTGGAATGGTGAGAAAATGGGGAAAAT